AGAGCTAAATTTTTATGAAGGTGCTTTTATTTTCATTTGGCCTAAGATTGAGAAAATGTCCTCTGAGTACGTTAAATAGTTTTTTTTACATATTTGAGACAGCTTTGAGAAGAGATTAATAAAGATGATAGAGGGCACATTAGTCAGTTCTTGTTAAGCGTTGCTGCAATAACAACCTCAAAATCTCAGTGGCTAACAACCACACAAGTATTTTTCACTCAACTTACTCTTCCCTGTGGGTCAGCTGAGGCTTTGCTCCATGGCTTTGCTTCATGGCAGAATGGAGGAGCGAATGAACTGCTGGGAAGTCTCACTTCTATCCCCTTAAAGGAGACAATGATGTTGGGTGAAGGGGCAAAGGAGCTTCTTTCATGTCAACAGCCTTTCTGAGGAAAGGAAGGCTAAAAGGGCTGGAGTGGAAGAAATACTAACGCTCTTGCCTTCCCAGAGCAGGACTGAAGCTGTCACTACTCCACAGCAGGGTGGGTATAGCGGTGAAGGGTGCAGTGGTACAAGAGGGACACACACACACACACACACAGTTTTGGGGGGGGTACTGCACAACCCCAGAACCGTTCTACTTCAACTACATCAAGAGGGAGGAAAGGCTGGGCTCGATGGCTCAGGCTGTAATCCCGTGCTTTGGGAGGCCGAAGTGAGTGAATTGCCTGAGCCCACGGGTTCGAGACCCTCCTGGGTAACTTGGCGAGACCTCATCTCCACAATAAATCAAAAAATTAGTCGGGCGTGGTAGCACACACCTGTAGTTCTGGCTACTTGGAAGGCTGAGGCGGAAGGATCGCCAGAGCCCAGCAAGTCGAGGCTGCAGTTGCTGGCAGGGGCCACTGCACTCCAGTCTGGGTGACAGAGTGAGACTCCAAAAAAAGAGAGAGGAAGGAAGCTTCTGGGTGCCACCAGAAGATTTCCGGCAACAAGAAGAAGGAAAATGATCCAAAGGGAAGCAGAGACCAGGAGAAGAGAAGACGCGGCACACGTGTGGGGTGTGGCAGTCATTAACCTGAGGTTAACGCTGAACCTTTTTCCAGCTTCTCACCTGAACTGCCTCTCACAGCAAAACAGACATCAGCATGGTCCACCTGGAACACTGATGGGTGATTTGTTTCCTTCTCTGGAAAAATCTCTTTTCTCAGCCACAGGAAAACAAGTTTCAAAGTTGATTGGGAAAGCGGGGGGTGGGGTTCAGATATGGAAAGAATGAGAAGGGAACAGATGGTGCCTGCTAAGACGACCAGATTTTTTTCCCCCAGTTAATCTGGGAATGACCTAATTTACATAGTATTTGCATAAATTTCCATTTCAAATTAAAGCTGTCCCAACTTCAAGGATGCAGGAGAAAATAAATGAGATCAAGCAATCTACTGTAATTGAACTCAAACCGGTCCTGACTTCTGTGAAATGCAGGTCAGACGTTTAAGCCCTGGCACAACAGAGGGAAGGAAGTCGGCCCACTGTCCCTCCACAGGAGGGAGCCTGGAGAAAGCCTCTCTCCACCTCTGAAATTGGAGAAAGTCACCCCAGGGTTCTGGGCCAGAAGAGTGGGGTGATGAGGAAATTCCACCTGTCCTCTGCTCCACTTCTCCTTCCATGGCGGTGCCTTCTTAGGAGGAATCAAAACTAGGAGCAGAGCAGAAAAGGTGGAGACACTCTCCCAAAGTCAGAATGGCCTAGCCAGAGGGACTCACATGGAGGAAAGGCCCAGCCTCTTCTCAGCACAGTAGGCTGGGCACCTGAGCGGGGGCTCAAGTGCATGGGACATAGGGACACGCCCCGGCATGGTGTGTTGGGTTGTTTGTGCTGCCTGATTCCTTTGCTCGCCATCTTTTATTCTCAGTCTTCACCAAATTCCAAACCCCATCACACAGCCTCTAAGACACACAAACATATATGAGTGCAGAGGAACGTTCGCACAGACGCCTCCACACACACCCTGGGGGGTTACCACCAGCCTGTCCTACCCAGTCCCAACCTAGCAACGGGAACTTTGGGAGCCTAGGATGTATCCGTCACCTTGTTTGCGAAATGTCCAGCCCCTTTCTCTATTTCTTGGGCTAATTCAGATCTGGAGAAGCTGCAAGGGAGGTGAATTCCTCAGGTAGGTCAGATAGAGACAGAGCCAGAGTTGGAGGCAGGGACTGGGCCATGCCCTGTAGGGAGTTGTCACCTGGGGCGTGCTAGCTGCTGCAGAAAGAAATCCCCACATGTTGAAGGAAGGCCAGCTGGCGGCCCCAGGTGCTACTGGCTTTCAACATAAAGGCTAAGCGGTCAAGTGGACTTGAATCTGCCCCTCAGGTGATCCTCTGATGAGATGTCCAGAGTGCTGGCCTCCAAGTCCACAGGGACTGTCTCCCTTCCTCCCTGGTTGACTCTTCTGCACTTAGCATCCCTGTTTTCCCAACCCCTTCAGCCCAGATGATCCAGGTGGAAGAAACCTTGTTCTCTTCCAGAATGTTCCCCTGACAGTTTCTGCTGACAGTCCTCAGGCCTCCCTGGCCCTGAAGTTAAAGCCAAGAAGGCTTCTTGGCTCCCCTGAAACAAGAGCACAGAACAGCCAGCTGCTTCATTGGGGTGGCAGGGAGTTTGAGGAAAGGAGGCATAAAGAGAAAAACAGACCAGAAAAAAAAATTGTTCATTAATATTTCAAAAATGTATTTTGCTACACACATTGTTGAAAGATAAGGACCCAAGGTCACACAAGCCAAAAGAAAGAAAAAAGACTAGCCAAAAGAGAAAAGTGTGGCTAGCAAGATGAGGCAAGAAGAAAAGATGGAGCCATCAGAATCTAATGCTGGTGGATTTTTCCAGGCTGCATCCTCTGAGCCCCTACTTCAGCCCCAAATGCTCTGGGCCAGGCCACGCAGTGCGTGAGAGCCCATCAAAGGTCTTTGGGCAGCTGCTACATGGCTGCTCACCCACTCATGCGCTTAAGAAGAGTTCCCCATATAGTGGCACCACACAGATGCCCCTGCTGGCCAAAGAGAAGGCTCAGGAAGGCCAGGCATTCTCACTATTCTCACTCAGTCAGCCTTTATTTATTTATTTATTTAATTTTTTTGATACGAGGTCTCACTCTGTCACCCAACCTGGAGTGCAATGGCATGATCACAGCTACTGTAGCACACACCACCATGCCCAGCTAATTTTTTGATTTTTTTTAATAGTTACTCAGAAAGCTGAGGTGGAAGGATCGCCTGAGCCCAGGAGTTCGAAGCTGCAGCAAGCCATGACTGTGCCATTGCACTCCAGCCTGGGTGACTAAAAAAAAAAAAAAATCATTCTTAGTTCACAGGCTGCACAAAAACAGGCAGCATACTAGACTTGGCCAGCAGGCTGGGCTTTGCTTTAGACAAACCCAGAAGCAGAAGGTTGGGTCTTCTTAAATGGAAATAGAGTATGTTGATTTTTTTTTTCTGAGTCGAGTTTCACTCTGGCTGTTAATGTCTCGTAAATGTTGCCCAGTGCAAGTATTTTCATATGCATACACTTGTATACCTATGTCATACTGACTGTCATACTGACTATAATGTAAAGCATATTTCTTGCAGTGGATCATGGTCAAGAAGTTTGAGAAGCCCTGTTCTGATGAATATGGGGGAAGAGAGAGATTGCATTTTCAGCCACTTGAATCGTCCCGAGTCTCACATTCCTCTCTCCACTCCTGTGCCCTTGTGGGTTTCTTTGCTGATCCTCCCTGAGAGCCACTGGTTGGATGCCCTCGTAGTGATGCTCTGGCAGACAGGGTGCCAGTGAGAGATGGAGAGACATGCCACACCTCACTTTCATTCTCTACACCCCCACCGCCCAAGTCTTGTTCACTCAGTACCTTGGGTAGAACACAATGGTCTGCAAACATGTTGAATGAATGAATGAGTTAATTCCAGACAGCAGGGCTGCAAGTGTGAAGGCCCTGAGATGTGAGGGAGTATGGCACAACGGTGGAACTGAAAGAGACTCAGTGAAAGATCTTAAAGCCTGTTTTCCAACAACACTGCCTAGCCTAAGCTTACACATAGGTCCATGAAGGACCTGGTCAGGTTTCCAGGCAAAGAATTCTCTCCCCGTTTGTCAGGTAGCAAAGGGGTTTTTTCCCCAGGTACCCAAGCTGCTTGCAAACATTTGAAACTCACCTTGGCATGAAGAAAGAGATATCTATATCACAAGTGAGAAATACCAGTTGTTCTCAAAGGCCATTGGCTTCAGGAAGACAGGGAACTGCATTTCAGCAAGCCAACCGAATGATTCATTTCTGGCCAGGCATGGTGGCTCACGCCTGTAATACCAGCACTTTGGGAGGGTAAGGTGAAAGGATTGCCTGATCCCAGGGTTTAAGACCAGCTTGGGCAACTCGGTGAGACCTCGTCTCTATGATAGATCAAAACATTAGCCAGACCTGATGGAGCATGCCTGTAGTCCCAGCTACTTAGAAGGATCGCCTGAGCCCAGCAGGTTGAGGCTGCTGTAGCTGTGAGTCTGCCATTGTACTCCAGCCTAGACAACAAAGTGAGATCCTGACTCAAAAAAAAAAAAAAAATCAGTTTCTGTGGAACTTGGAGAGCAGCCAGGCAGGTGGTGCTGGACTAAGTGCTGAAGTGACACACAGGGTGGGCCTTGGCTCGGAGCAGATCTTGGGAGGGAGAAAGGAAAAGGACTATCCTAGGATCATTGACAGAAGCAGATCTAGCCTCTATCCTCACAGATATCCTCCTGCATGAAATGTTCTCCCTTCAAGACGCCTGCCCTTTCCTTGGCTTTGTGCCTCTGAGCTTGATGGTGGCACGACAGGTGTGATTCACGGTCACTGACACCTTACTGGCCCACTGGCGGAGGTTCCAGAGAGGCCTCTGATCCAAGTCCCATGGAGAGACTCGATACCTCACCCAGGTGTCCTGCCAGGTGGGCCCCTTCTGGGTTCCTCCCCTCATGTTTGAGACAATTCCATAATATCACACAGCAAGGGTGAAGGAATACGTTTTGGAGGTGGCCTACAGGCAAGCAAGAAGATTGAAGCAAGCCTGTGTCTCCATTCCATCATCCGTCCTGGGGGGGGGGGAGCGAGGCCTACAATGTGGGGCTGCATTCCCTTCCTCCTCCCCGTTCATGTAGGACCACAGGGGCTGCTTGTGGTCCTCAGGCAGAGAAGATCCGCAGGCACTGTCTGAATGTTGCAAAGCTCCCTGGGCATGGAAAGGGGTGAAGGAGAGGAAGCCTCTAGTCCCACAGGGAAGGGAACTTGGGGGCAGCCCCGCCCACCTGGAGGGGACCTGACTCCAGCTGGCTCCCAGACCGACCAGGGCACAGAGCTCCCAGGGTCTCACTCCAATGGTGCTGCCTTTGCCCTGCCAACCTAGGGAGAGCTGCATGCCTCTCAGTGTCTAGGTCTGCCTCCAGCATGGATCTCTGAACAGCAAGCCGATTGTCTGAGGCCCTTGATGGGCAGGGTCTCCCAAGGGCTTGTGGGTACACTAAAAGCCCCAGTCACTACCAGGTAACTTCAACAACAAACTGGGACTCCATGGCTGCCTAGAGTCCACCACTAGGCTGGCAGGGACCTTCCAACATGACCTGGGGGCGAGGCCCGAGAAAGATGACAGAACTTTTCCTCCCTCCTCTCAGAGAGAGTGTTCTCGGTTCAGTGTTTTGTTCTGTTTTATTATTTTATTTTATTTAGGTGAAACAAACATCTGGTACACAGATCCTTATACATTTTAAATGCCTCTCTAACCCCTTTCGGGGGTTGTAACCCCTCCCTTCTCCCATCCTGCATGTTAATTTGAATATGAACTTAATGGACACTAAATAAGTCAGCAAAGATGCTGTTTTTAGTGCAGCTGAGCAGATGTGTTTCCGGGAAAATGTGCCTGCATGGGCAACATCACCGAAAGGCACCTCTAGTTCGTGCCCTTCCCCCCAGGGGAACTCAAAGAGAAGCCAGGCACAGCCAGCCCAGCGCGATGCCATGGGGGAGAGCACAGGGCAGCTGCTCTTTCTGGGGGAATTTAAGTGCGAATGCCACCCCTTCTCCTACAGGGCCCTCCCCTGCATGAAGCTTCCCCTCCCTTCCTTAATTGGGCAACTTCCAGTCATGGTGCCAAGGACTCCGGGGTCCTGCAACAAGGAAGAGAGCCCTGACTTCAAGTGGCACACAGGCCAGTCCGATGCTGGGGAAATAGTCGGAGCTCAGTCATTTTAATAGATTGAAACCAGAGATAAGGCTCTCAAATTTCACCCCAGCCAAGTTCTAGCACTTGAAGGGATTCTGGGTAAAACAAGACAAGCCAAGAAGCACTCAGCTTACTTAGCCTGGGTAGACTCATACCAGGTTTGAAGGATTCTTGTCTGAAGTCTGAAGTTCCCAGTTTGGTACTTGCAAAGACTCCAAGAGGCTCCCGAGGAGCTGAAAGCTGGAGCAGTCACCCAGGCTGGCTTTGTCCACTCTGCCCCACCAGGACTGTTCCCGAAAGTTCACTGGTGATGGGGACGCGGGGTGAGGCACAAAGCAGCCAACATCTACAGCCTGCAGCTACGAGATGGGCTTGTGGTGTCCTTGTTTTCCCAAGGAGCACAAGGCTCCCCCTCATTGGATACAGTGCTCACAGGAGGAACAATAAGGGTTCGATCTGGTCCCAGTGCTGCTCACTGGGCTTCACTTTTTTGTGTGTGTGTGTGAGTTGGGGGTCTCATGCCCAGGCTGGCGTGCCTTGGCATGATCACAGCTCACTGCAGCCTGGACTTCTTGGGCTTAGGTGATCTTCCCACCTCAGCCTCCCAAGTAGCTGGGACTACAGGCACATGCCACCACCCCTGTCTAATTAATTTTAAAATTTATTTATTTATTAATTTATTTATTTATTTTACAGACCAGGTCTCGTTATGTTGCCTAGGCTGGTCTTGAACTCCTGGGCTCAAGCAATCCTCCTGCCTTGGCCTCCCAAAGTGCTGAGATTACAGGTGTAAGCCACTGTGACCCCTTCTTTGCAGATTTAAAACTCCATGGAGAATCTTCTCTAAACTCTGCCAGACCCACAGGATTGTTATTTGGTGAGGTATGTGCAATCGAAAAGCACTGCACAGCCGGGCTCAGTGGCTCAGCCTGTAATCCCAGCGCTTTGGGGAGGCCAAGGTGAGTGGATTGCCTGAGTCCGCGGGTTCGAGACCCGCCTGGGCAACTTGGCGAGACCTCATCTCTACATAAATAAAAAAAATTAGCTGGATGTGGTAGCGCGCGCCTGTAGTTCCAGCTACTTGGAAGGCTGAGGCGGAAGGATTGCCGGAGCCCAGCAGGTCGAGGCTGCGGTGACCGGCAGTGGCCACTGCACTCCAGTCTGGGCACCAGAGTGAGACTCCAACTCAAAAAAAAAAAAAAAAAAAAAGAAAAGAAAAGCACTGCACACATCAGCTCTTACAAGGACGATGAGTCTATGAGCTCTGGGTACTCCTGGGCCATCACCTTCCAGATACCATCTTAGTGCAGGGGTCCCCAGCCCCAGGCCAAGGCCAGTACTGGTCTGTGGCCTGTAGAAACTTGGCTGTACAGCCGGAGGTGAGTGGTGGGCGAGGGAGAGAAGCTTCATCTGTATTTATAGTTGCTCACCATCGCTTTTATGGCCTGAGGTCCTCCTCCTGTCAGATCAGTGATAGTATTAGATTCTCATAGGGGCTCGAACCCTATTGTGAGCTGCACATGCAAGGAATCAGCTTGCATGTTCCTTATGAGAATCTAATGCCTGATGATCTGAGGTGGCGCTGAGTCAGTGATACTAGCTGGGGAGCGGCTACAAATACAGATTAGCATTAGCAGTGAGGCTTGACTGTAGAGACCATAATAAATCAATTGCTGCAGACTCATATCAAAACCCTATCAGGGAGTGGCAGGTGAGTTGTACTTTATCCAATTGTACAGTTTCATCTGGTGGCAGGCTTTAAGTCAGAATCTAACACTTGTATTAGTCCACGTGGCCCACCCATTATTTTATTTACCACTTCCATCTGCACTACTTTTTTTCTATGGTGAGTTGCATAATTATTTCATTATATATCACAATGTAATAATAATAGAAATAAAGACACAATAAATGTTATACACTTGAATAATCCTAAAACCATTCCCCTCCCCACTCCCCTGCGGCCCCATCCATGCAACAATTGTCTTCCACGAAACCCGTCTTTGATGCCAAAAAGATTGAGGACCACAGTCTTAGCGGATTTGCCAGCTCCTTAGATCAGTGATTTAACAGAAGCCTAGTTAGCCCAGATTAGGTGCCCCAGAGCCTAGACTTGGGGGCCTGTCCTGTTAAGCCCCTTTTATAGAGCCAGGTGATGTTCACAGACCAGGGTGAATAGCCAGAGGCGGGGCCTCCTCTTCCCGTCCTCTACTCTGAAAGTCCCACGCTCAGTGCATCAAGCATCAACATGCCCTAAAAGAAAAGCCCAAACTGAAGAATGGTGGGTCCTTTCTGCCGGTCAGTGTTCCAGACATATTCCACTTGGCGAACCGCCCAAGTTCAGACTTGCACCTTCCTTCTGGCTGTTGTCTTGGCATCTTCTCTGGAACCTCGAGACAGTTGGCCCGAGGCACTTGGAAACAGGAGGAACACGGCTAGGAGAAGCCCATGGTGCCTGGTCACAATGTTTCCACCACCCTCCCTTGGAAGGGCTCCAAAGTGCAAGCCACCTCAGCAGATTTCTGGGAAAAAGATCTAATAGCTTCCAGGGGAAAACCCACCTAGCCAGAAAAAACAGCAAGCATTCCCTGAGTGCTTACTTTGTATGTGATCTCAGGTAATGTACACACACCACTATGGGGCCAATTTATTGTCATCCTCATCCCCATTTTACGCAGTAGAAAACAGAAGCTCAAAGATGTTAAACAGTGCTCACTTCAGCAGCACATATACTAAAATTGGAACAATACAGAGAAGATTAACATGGCCCCTGTGCAAGGATGACATGCAAATTTGTGAGGCGTTCCGCATTTTTTTTTAAAAGGTGTTAAACGACATACTTGAGGTTACAGTGTTAATAATGGCAGCGCCAATATTTGAGCCTGAATGCATCAAATAAAAAAGTCCACACCCTTAACTACAAAGTCATGTCTTCTCCAGAGTAGGAACAGGCATCTTGATGCGGTTCACTTAGACTAGAGACCATTTTGTTTGTTTTGAGACACTCACTTGGCAAGAAAAGTCAAATTTGTCACCAGAACCTGATGGATTAAATAAATCAGCTAAACAAAGACACTACAACTTCGGAGAAACAAACTACTAAGGTTTGGGAAGTTGTAGCTCTAGGATTCTAAGAGCTTTGTTATACAAAAAGGATTAAATTTTAGTGACAGCATTCTAGGCTTTGGCAGAAGTCAGCCAGTGGAAGATGTAGCTGCCTCAGCTTGATATGCCGGCCCCACCAGAATACATCATTCTCCCCGGGATGATGCGGGAACATTCAAGCCAGACAAGGGGACTTCTGGTACAGCCCACCCTCCTCACCAGATTCCCTCCTACTGCCAGCCCTGGTAGTTAAGGATTCTATTTTAGGAAGAAAGGAGGTGTGTTGGTGTCTTTCAGTCACTAAAAGATCACACAGTTAATGGCAGAGCTGCTGACCCTTTGCACGCAGGGTTAGCCTGAAACAGGCCTTTCAGGTGGAACCTCCTCGCTGTTTTGAAAGCACTTTGGCTTGAAGCTGGAGATTCAGAGTCACCTTAGAGGTTTGGTGCTGTGCCATGGAATAAACTAGAAACAAACCTGATGCCAGTAAGTCGATATCCACAGCCCTGCTCCCAGTTACAGGGGAAATGTGCCCATGTCTGGATTGGAAGAAGGAATTGAGAATGCTCAACTCTCAACTCTCAATGCTCAACTGTCACGATCTCTAAAAGCCACTGGACCCACAGTGAAGGCTACAGGTGTGTGCTCTGTGTCAGGGAAAAAGGAGTATCTAAATCAATGCCAAGCAGTTCCTCTTTCCTTACTGTCCCTCAAAGTCAGCCCTTTGGCATCTGGAAACTAGAAATTGATGTTTCCAGAGGCAGCCAGTGAGTGTGATGCAGGAAGAAGAGAAGTGTTGAAGGTGAAGCCAGTCCTTGGCAGTTATTATTATCGTCCCATCCCCTATCACTATCATGATTTTCTTCTATTATTTACAGCATTGGAGAATGTACCAGATGCATCAGTCATGGTAGCTATCATACCCCCATTCCTAGCTAAGAAAAACTGCCCAGACATAGCCCCCAAGGAGGGACGTGTCCCCAATATGGCCCTCACTCACAGTTTGTTTTGTTTTTAGCCCGTGACCCACCCCCTCTTGGCCACCTGTGACTGGACAGGAGTAGATGTCTTGCCCGGGATGTCCTATCCAGGGACTGACCAGAATTGTCAGATGTGGTCCAGCTCAACCAATACTGCCCAAATGTGAATCAGAATTAGATCAATCAAATTAGCTTTTCCTCTCAAGTAACTGATTTTAGAAATAGAGAAAAAAGTGAGTCAACTCGTAACAGGACAAAAACCACGAAGACACACTTAGAAGAGGAGTGAAGAGTGAAGTCTCTGAGTCATACTGACGTCAGAGTCCCAGGACTCATCCCAAAATACCTCTGCACACTGGTTGGCGGCATACCCTTCACAGGTGGGTAACACATTGTGCTCAAGGTGGAACATGTACCTTTTGTTGCAGTTGAGGATATATATTGTTACAACAGCGTTTGTGGGACAGAATGTTGGGAGGAGTACTTCGTGCAGAATGGGAGAATCCCAAACATGCACATTGCAGGGAAGAGGTGGAGTATAATGCTGAGTGCCAACACAACCACGTTTCCCAGAATGTGTGAAAACTCTGCTTTGTGAGTACAGAACAGAGCACAGTTGGGGCCATAACAGCTATCCTCAAATAAAGATACGGGCTTGCAGAGTAACCAAGTGAACACTATGGTTAGTATGGATGTAATGTAGTCCCTTCAAAGGTTTGCCAAAAATTCTAGGATTTAAACACACGCCATTGTATTAGTGAGGACCCTTTGGGTTTCAAGTAACAGAAACCCAACTCAGATTAACTTACAAAGGAATTTATGGTGCACATAATAGAACAATCTAAGGAGAGAACTGACTTCAGTTATGGCTGGATACAATTGTTCAACGTCATCAGGAATGACTGTTTCTCTAGCTCTCTCTCTGCCTTCCTCTGGTTGGCATGATTCTTCGGTTGGCAGGCTCTTTCCACCCTTGACGGGGTGGCGGATGTTGGCTTCTCGCATCAAGCCTACCTCCTTCCGCTGAAGCAGAATCAGCGGGAAAACAGTCATTCCCTAAATCTATAACTCAAGTCCCAGGAATAGCTCTCATTGGCCCACCTTGGGACATGTATCCACCCCTGAACCAATTACAGGAGCCAGGGAGAAGCAGCGATCTGATTGGCCTGGGCTGGGTCATGTGTCCAGTCCTGGCGCTAGGGCATGATGTCAGCCCCAC